CAAGTCTTAATTTTTTTTTTTTTTTTAAGGAATTGAGATCAGTAGGAAGTTGTAGTTTTTTGTAACTTAAAATTTTTGTCATCCTAACAACAGAGCAGGTGTGTAATGCTATGCAGCATTAAAAAATATCAAATACTGGGGGTACTCGTCATCAGTGTCTGAGGTGGTTCCAGCAGTTAAATCTAGTACAAGTCTGTAAAAATAAAAACAGTGCAGATCCACTTTCGTGCATTTGTTCTGGAACTCACAACATGCCCTCACATCACACAACGAAACGCTTTTATAACCTGCATATATGACCCTGGAGCACAAAACCAGTCATAAGGGTAAATTTTTCGAAATTTAGATTTATACATAATCCGAAAGCTGAATAAATAAGCTTTCCATTGATGTATGGTTTGTTAGGATAGGACAATATTTGGCCGAGATACAACTATTTGAAAATCTGGAATCTGAGGGTGCAAAAAAATAAAAATACTGAGAAAATCATCTTTAAAGTTGTCCAAATGAAGTTCTTAGCAACGCATATTATTAATCAAAAATTAAGTTTTAATATATTTACAGTAGGAAATTTACAAAATATCTTCATGGAACATGATCTTTACTTAATATCCTAATGATTTTTGGCATAAAAGAAAAATCTATAATTTTGACCCATACAATGTATTTTTGGCTATTGCTACAAATATACCCCAGCGACTTAAGACTGCTTTTGTGCTCCAGGGTCACATATATTAACCTCTGACACATGAATTTGATACTGTAATTGTGGTTTGACATTTATCAAGCTCATTCATTTAGCTAAGTCCAAAAGAGACACATTTATGGCAGACAGAGTTTTGCATAATGGAAATAGGCTCCTTAAATTCAGGATCACTAAAATATTGGAAGTGCGGGCTGCCCGCTCCAATTTTTAGAAAATGTATATTTTAGAAAAAAAAAAAAAAAAAAGTAGGGGCAATAGTCTGGAAACTAAGACTTTTCATACTCTTCTTATTCCTATATTTATCCAGACCTGGAAGTTATTAAAATCAAATTCCATACAGTGTAGAAACCCTGAAATGTTCAATTCCAACACAGGCTTTTATATCTCCATTTCTGACTGGAGATATTAAAAGCATGAACATGATGATCAGCCGGTTTGATGTGACATATACTGAGAAAAACACCAGTACACAAAGACTCAAATTTACATGTTTATTGACACCAGCTGTTTGTGTTGGAAGTTTCAGACAGACTCCTGGATGGGGGGCTCATATCCGTCAGCTCGCTCCACCTTGGCCCCGGTGTCGCCCTCTGCAGGTTTAGCAGCAGCACTGCTGGTTCCACCCTCACCGTGAAGCTCCATCAGCTTACCAACTGCACGATAAAATTTCATAAATACATTAATCTCATACAAATCTACTTCTAAACCTAAAAATTGTCCAATGAAAAAGTTCAAACGTATTAAATGGCTTGGGAAACAAAAAAGGTATTACTTTACAAAAGATTAATTTGGTAAGTTTAAGAGATGAAGCATCACAACAAAACTTCTCACATCCAACAATCATGGGATGAACCAAATAATGCTCTTAAAAGCATTAATGCATGTAACCCTGACCATGAAAGTGCAACAACATCCGGCCCAAAAAAAACTAACATTTGTCAGTCATTAGCATAAATCAGGGATCCTCAAATCTGGCCCACGAGATCCACTTTCCTGCAGAGTTTCGCTCGAACTCTAATCAAGCACACCTGAGCATGCTAATCAATGTCTTCAGGATCATTAGAAAGTCACAGGTAGGGGAGTTTGATCAGGGTTGGAGCTAAACTTTTCAGCGCATTGGCCCTCCAGAGCAAGATTTGAGGAAGCCTGGCATAAATGAAAGTCGAAACAAGCCATGCATGTTCATCACACGATTGGCAGGCTTTCTCAATGTCCTTGCCTACACTGTCAGGAATCCTACAAAAAAAAAAAAAAACACCATTTATTAAACACAGCTGCATGACAATTATAGATCACGACTGCTAATAAAGTTTTCAGAAAGGAAGTTATAGAGTTACTGCTCTATCTCCATTACCTCAGCACTCAAAAGGTATGCTACTGACACTGTATTCGTGAGCATGAGCTCCACTGTACAAAAAGTGTCTACTAAAATAATGAAAAATGCTAAGACACATCATTTGAACACTTGATCTTAACAGCCAACATCCAGTATTTCAACCACACTAAATCTTAGCACATTTCATTTAAGTATCAAAGCCCACCTTCCTGCAGAATTTAATTCAAACACACCCCCAATAACAATCCAGTAATCCTGAAGATCTTGATTAACTCGTTCAGTCGCGTTAAATTAGGGCTGCAGCTGAACGGTGCAGGAAGTTGGACCTCCAGGAGCAGAGCCTGACCGACCAACTGATTTAAGTCAAGTCACCTTTATTTTCATTTGAAAATGGATTAAAAAAATAATTTGTAGAATAAACATACTTATACTTTAGATGACAGTATTTTTCACAAATAAATATTTTATACAAATATAATTAAAAAGGAAGTAAACCGTAACCAACAGAGTATTCTGGGAATTCTATTACTAATAATATTAAAGCAATCGTTATAATACTTTTTTGTATACATTTTAATTCCTTTGTTTAACAGTTCTGATTATTAGACAAGACTTCTATCCGTATTAGACAGAACTATTAATGACGACAGCGAACAAGGAGAATGTGAGCACTGTGTGTTCAGGCGCTGCCGCTCTCAGCGCTGTCAAAATAAAAGTCCCACCTTGAACGCATCGGCCAAACAGAAAAACCTATCGGCCGATGCCGATATTTAAGAAATGCCAAATATCGGCAGATATATCGGCCTTGGCGATATATCAGTCGACTACTACTAGTGTGTCATTAATGCAAAATGACAAAAGTAAACACTCAATTTTCAGTTAAAGGCAGTTCATCATTGAATTCAGTGATGTCATCATCCAGCTCAGTTCAGTTTAAATAGTATCTGTGCAATCAAGTCAACAATATCGCTGGAAGTGTAACACCATTAAATTCAACACCAAACTGTAATGCCATGGACAAGGGGAGAACTTCATACATACAGTTTGTTGACCACCTCGAGGAGGTCATTGGTCTGGACCTCACGGGTCATGATTTCCATCATCTTCTTGCGGATCTGACGGACCTGCTGGTGCTGAGCGTAGGAGGTCTTTCTGATCTGGTTGGTGCGCTTCTTGGTGAAGCCCACGCAGAACAGGCGGAGAAGATAGCCATCGGTGGTCTTCACATCAACGTGAGCCTCAATCATTGTCTATTTGGAAATAACAGCATGTTAGCATCTTAGCACACAGCCTGCACAAAAAGCAATGTTATGGAGAACTTTCAATTCGACAGATATACAGTACTTATGGAGGATATCGAAATATCTTGCGTTAACCAAATTCCTAAGGGTTTGGAATGACATGAAGGCGAGTAAATGACAATTTTGGGAGAACCATCTCATTAATCCCAAAAAATGTAAGATGTGAAATGAAGGAACTTGCAGCAATATTTTAAGACTAGGCTTAATCAATTATCGTGATATAATTTTCCTTGATAAAACAATAAGAGTTTGATAAATGTTCCATACAATGTTTATGCGCCAAAAGCGGATGAAACAGCGCTACTCATTTGAGCCGCGCCACACAGAGCGTTTAATCCTGCGCACTAGAGCAGATGTGTTACTCGCTGATGAGTCTGTCACACAACACTAAACAGCGCTGTGAGATCCAGCGCTTAGTGCTTGAGTTCAGAGAAGAACACAAAAGTGTCTGTGATTTAAACTAGTTTAGAGCCCGATGAAACAGCGCTGAGAAACACTGTGAGCAACGATTCAGTCAGAAGACTTTAAATCACCATCATTTACCATACTACTCATTTAATCAAGCTACTGTCAAATGTGCATTTCTAAGAGAATTTTGTAAAAATGAATATTGCAGCCTGCACTGCAAACTGTGCTTAAGATACACATCAAAGTCAGGAACACAAACCCGATTCATGATTTGAAACAATATCACTCATTAGAACATGCAAAAATTTAAGAAATAATTTTTTCAATAAAGATATTTATTTTGTTTTAGTCTTTTGTAAGAATTAAAAAATGTGGCGTGCTTGTCATGTTCTGACCATAAAGCGTAGTTTCAAACCACAGTTAATAGTCTGCTTTCTAAACTTTCACCTGGCAGCAAAAATCTGCCTTTAAATTTGAAAAAAATTCAGATTTGACATTTATCGTGATTTTTTTTTCACGATAAATGTGAAAAAAACATTTTCTACTTATGGCCCTACTTATGTTCCAAACAAAAATGATCAGAGCATCGCTGCAGTTTATGTAACACTAAAAGGGTGGTCACACCAGACTTTGAGCATGCAAAACTTCTTCAGACACACCGGTCATGATGTAACGTCACACTTTGCTGCCATTTAAAAACAAAATCAACATAACTACAAAATGTAAATTGAAAATGCAATGCTGCAAACCTGCAGCTTCAAAGTTTGTCTTAATTAAGCCAACAGATCACACCATGAAGTATCAATCTTCCTTTGGTCACACATCTTCACCAAATTTGGAACGTTGCGTTTCCAGTTTTCAGCATTTGCATGCATATAAATGAAAGTGAACGTAATGAAAAGTGTAGCATGAACACCACTTGAGGGTGATACAAGATTTATTTTTAATTTTTTTGTGATGGCAAGCCTTCTACGACCTAAACTAAAGCATCCAGTGAGTAAAGGTCACACGTTAACTCGACTGTACCTGCCACTTCTTGACCATAGAGCACATCTTGTCACGGGTGAGGTCCATGCCATGGAAGTTGGTGAGGCAGTTCTTGCCCTGCACGTCTTCTGTGACCAGCTTGAACTTGCGAAAGGCCACCTCATCGTTCTGCAGATCAGCCAGACTGACCTCAAACACACGTCCCTTCAGACCATCAGAGGCAATTCCTAGATTACAAAGACATGTCGTTAAACTGGCTGCAGTTTGTAGTGCTATGACGAATCGTATGGGAATGTCAGGTGATCTGATAACAGTAACCACAGCTTTTCATCTAGGACCGAAACTACTGTCATCATGTATTCCCACTGCAATACGGCACGAATACGGATTTGCATCAAACAATTGGGACACACATGGATCTGTCCTTTCCCAGCAGGGTTAAAGGATTAGTTCACTTCCAGAATAAAAATGTCCTTATCCTGATAATTTACTCACCCCCATGTCATCCAAGATGCTCATGTCTTTCTTTCTTCAGTTGCAAAGAAATTAAGGTTTCTGAGGAAAACATTCCAGGATTTTTCTCCATGTAATGGACTTCAATGGGGTCCAATGGGCTGAAGGTCCAAATTACAGCTTCAAAGGGCTCTACACGATCCCAGCCGAGCAATAAGGCTCTTATCTAGAGAAACAATCGCTCATTTACTAATAAAAATACAAATGTATTTACTTTTTAACCACAAATGCTCGTCTTGACTGATGACGTAATAACGTTGGAAAGGTCACGCGTGACTTAGGTGGAAGCACCGACCCAGTGTTTACAAAGCAAACATGCAAAGAAAATAAAAAAAAAAAAAAAAAAAAAAAAAAAAAAACTTAGTTGGAGAAAATGAGATGGAGTTTTTCATCTTTTTAAATCGGAGCACACAGACAAAGAGCTAACCACGCATGACCTTTCCAACGTGATTACGTAATGCGTCAAGTCCAGCTAGTGCAAGACGAGCATTTATTTATTAATTTTTTTAGAAAATGAGCGATCATTTCGTTAGATAAGCCCCTTATTCCTCGGCTGGGATTGTGTAGAGTCCTTTGAAGCTGCAATTTGGACCTTCTGCCCATTGGACCCCATTGAAGTCCATTACATGGAGAAAAATCCTGGAACGTTTTCCTCAAAAACCTCAATTTCTTTGTGACTGAAGACAGAAAGACACGAACATCTTGGATAACATGGGGGTGAGTTCATTACCAGGACATTCTTATTCTGTTAGTGAACTAATCATTTAACAGTTCACGTTAAATTTGTGTGTAAACACAAACACGGGTGGACATTAAAAGCACTTACTGGTTCCCTGAGTCCTGGTGACCAAGGTCTTGCCCAGGTTGCGTATGTTGAACATGGCTGGTGCCTTGACATCATACCAGTCCTTCTTGGAGAATGGATCCACACTGCAAGAGAAAATTCATTTCAGAGACAGGTGCACGTTTGCAAGCAAATGTTGTAATAGCCACATTTTCATAGCTCAAATGTTGACACGGCTTATATTTGCTCTGGTCGTGTTAACTAAAATATGAGAAAGCTCTAAAATAACTTCGAGCATCCAACGTCACAGTAAGTCTTAAGTCAGTCAAGTATGCTGCAAAACTAGCTAACGTTAGCGCTCTCGGAGAAGCCTTCACGTTAGCGTTACCAGTTTGTCGTGTTATTTTGACTGAAAATGAATCCTTTATGAAAGTTATAGGACTAGTGCATTAGAAAACAGTACTAGGCCCTCACCATCTCTGAGCTAAAGTTATGAGAACACACAACACAGCACACCGTCAATGAGCCAGTCAGGCTAGCAGGACCGCTACACACAATCCCTTGTATATCGAGCACATCCTTCATCCACACAACCCATATATCCTCCAGAATAGTTTAGAACAGTGTAACGACGCAGTCGAGATTCATTTGTGACTTACATCTTCTTTTTGGCACCTTTTTTGCCACCTTTAGTCAGCCTCTTGTTCTTGCCGACCGCCATGTTGAACACAGGGAGTGAAAGAGGAGGAAATGAGGAAATACCGCGAGAATTAAAGCGACTGCGAGAATAGAAATATCTCGCGGGATTTCGCTGGCCTCACTGTAACGCACAAGGGCGCCATCTAGTGTTTGCATGCATTATTTCACTACGTTCGATATTTCCATGCTTATTTGACGAAGTCACATAAAACAGCCTACTTTAAATGCACATTTTCCTTTTTAATGATTCCTTTTCTGCAAAAAAAACTAAATAAATATATATTTACAAAGACATTTAAAAATCGCTTGTCAAAATAATAAGCGAAAAATAGGAAGTTTAGTCATAACATAAAGGAGTTTAGATAGTTTACCACAAAATAAAAATTGAATGTTTCTCACCCTCATGTTGTTCCAAACCAGTACGAGTTTCTTTCTACTGTTAAACATAATGAGATATTTTGAAGAATTTGGGTAACCAAACAGTTGAGGGTGAATAAATGGTCATTTTAGGGTGAACTATCCCTGTAAGTGTCCATATATATATATATATATATATATATGAATATGGACTTAAGTCTAATTACAGTCCTCAAACATCAAACCCCTAATGACAAACCTATTATAAATTGCATTGATAGATTAATGGAAGATTCATGCAGAGTGTCTAGAGGACTCGATCATTTAATCGGTTCGATCAAGTTTCTGTCTCAATTATAAACCGAAACAAACACAGAAATGATTTTGAAAAATATTCAAAATCTCAATTAAATAAATAAATGTCTCAGTAAATTAATTACTAATGTCCCATCATCTAATGTCTTGTTACTCTTGTTATATATATTATTATATATATATGTATTATATAAAATGATCATATTGCATTCCATATTGTTTCCAAAGGCAACATTGCACAGATGAACACCATTATTATTTAAACATATTATCTTTCACACTGTTCTTTAGAAACCCAAGAACAAAAGCTCACATTTCACTCACTCACAATAGCTGCATAATTAAAACTGACATTTTGCCTTAGCATGTGGTTTTTATTTACACTATAACAAGCTTCTTTAAATAGATGCCACATCCTGTTACTTTGGTAAGAAAGCATTTGGAAGGAGAAAAAAAAAAGCATTTTCAATAAATTGATTTCTGTAATTAATTCTTTATGTATGCGTCTGTGTGGTCTGATGTCAGTATAAAGTTCAGTGCCTGTGAGACAAATTGTTCTTTGTTGCTACAGAGTCTAGACCTTTAATTCTGCGGCCCCCGAGGGACTGTATATAGAGTCAACAAAGTCAATGTGCTGCTGACTCCTTGGCAATGACTCAAAGGGGCCATGAAACCACACTTTGATTATAATGAGACAGTGAGCACATTTATACTTGAAGCTAGTTAAGATTCTTTAATATTCAAGACCTCTGTGTGGGCTAATAGTCTGTCTGTGTATATTAAATAGTAAAGTTTACATGCAACAAAATAATATGTGCTTTAATAACTCTTTGTATGTGAAAAATTTACAAACATAATTTACACTAACCTAACCCTAACTGAATCTAAAATATCATGAGTATCACAAATCTGAACTTAGATTTAGATACAATTGGTAAAATAACAAATGACTCATGATGAAACAGAAGTAGTGACAGATCTTTTCTTCCATTTTGTGATGCACATCTAAATGTAGTGGATTATTGGCGAAAAAAAATGTAGGGTGGGACTTGGTTTGTTGCACTCAACTTAATGCCACTGATTGTGGAGGGACGGGGTTTAATCAGACTAAATGATTAAAGAATTCAGGCATTTACGTCACCAGAGAGAAGTCTTTTGCTTTGTGACATCATGATTAAAAATTACAAGTAAAAATAAATTAAACATACATGTATGAATCATTCATAATACAGTCTATAACATGCGTTACAATATATATACAGTGAATTTTTTATTTCATGCACACTTTAAGGGATAGTTCACCCAATTCTGCCATTATTTACTCACTGCATTTCTTATTTAAATGGAGCACAAAAAAAAAAAAACCAAAGAAGAACACTGAGGTCCAAATGGACAAACAAATCATGGTTGGAATGACATGAGGTTGAGTAACAGAATTATTAAGTGTAAGGGAAAGTATAAGAAATCATGTGGTCTCAGACTGTAAAGGACAATCTACATCTATAATAACTTTACATTCATGCATTTGGCAGCACAGTGTTGGGCTAGTTACTCAAAGAATGTAATATATTTCTCATTACTAGTTACTCCTTTCAAAAGTAATCTTGTTACTTTACTTGTTACTTTCTGGCAACAGTAATTAGTTAAACTACTAGTTACTTTTTCTTCACTCCCGACAGAAGTTGTACTGTAACTGTGTATCTTCCACATAAAATTCTTCTAGAATGTTACTAACAACATATTTCTGCCTCATCATTTGACCAAAATCCACATTGGATCACAGTCAGAAGTTATTAAAAACACTCAATATTGACTGATAGTGACATAGAAGTGTTGTATTAATCTCATTAATTGTCACGTGTAGCTTGAAGCTAATTGTAATTTCTCTGTTACCCATATACGATTATATTTCATTATGTATTTTATCAAATCACATACGTTTGTAAGAAACTGTTTAATTTTCCAAAAAGATTTTTAATTATAGTAATATAATGTACCACATGCTGATCAGAGGGATGTAATGCCAGAGTAAAGTAACGCCACAACTTACACAACAGTGTTCAGATCATCTTTTTTCCTGACAAAATCAATATAATGCAATATTTGTATCTGCTGAATGTAAGCTTTTCCATATTCCAAGCTTATCCTGCTGCACTGGGGACATCACATGCATGTGCGAGTCGTGAAAATTATGAAAATAAATGTAGGAATTATTTGATTGTTGGATTTCAAATCAGCGGGTTGAGGCATCAAAAGTAACTAAGTAACTAAACTGTTTTATGGATGGTAACTGTTATTACTGAAATCTTATTAGTAATTAGTTACACTACTAGCTACTGCAAAAAGTAATATTATTACAGTACAGTCCTATGATCTTCCAAAAAAGATGATCTCACTCTTGTAAACTACATAAACTGTACACTTGTAAATAACATATCTGTACATTAATTTAAACACTTATATGTTTTTTTCTCTATATTTCTACTTCTGTATATAGTGCATGATTTAATTTTCAGTTCTTATAATAGTGTTGAATTTCATCTCTACTGTGTAATTCCTACATATGTCTGCACTAGCATGTATGTTTATGTCTCTAATTTTTCTGCACTGGAAAATTCCTTGTGTGTGTAAACATACTTGTAAAGGTCTTTCTGACTTTCTGACCACTGAACTGCAGAAAACATATAGTGCATGCATGTTGTTTAATTATTATACACAATCCACATTCCAAATAATAATATGAAAAATAATAACACATTCTTTGATATTACCAAGTCAAATCTTGATGCAAACCACGTTTCTGATGAAAGCATGCCTTTTATCACTCTGTCCTCCAGATGTCTCTGTCATTCTCAAAGCAAGTGCATTATCGTAAACCACCACCACCACCACAAAAGAGCGTCCCTGACACAAGATCTTCAGTATGAAGTGTCATTCTGTCCTGACAGGTTCTCACTGTAGTCTAGTACCTGACACACCTGAGCCATCCCCCCTTCTCGCCGCACTGCGCATGCGCAGCTAGCAGCTCTTAGGGTTGCCAAGTCCGCGGGTTTCCCGCGGAACTGGGCTACTTTAACACGTAACAAAATCTATAAGTGTAAAAAAAACATGCACAGACAAATCCAAATTAAATTATCATTAAATAATATTGACTATCATATTTCAATGCTTAACTGACTGATGTTAAGTGTACTTTCAGATATTTATAAACTATATTTTATAACTAGTTTTTAGGAGGGACAACTATATTTTTAGTTGTCCCCCCTAAAAATATGATTAAAAACCAGTCTGTGCATTTAAATAATTGTGTAAGTAGTAAAACAATGCAAACGGGGCAAAAATGCATTTTAAGTTTAGAAACATTTTGAGTCTCCCCCTCCCTTGCCTCAGTGCTTTGGTCCAAATGCCTGCTTTCCTCTTTTACATCACCTCAGTTGCTGAGTCCGTGGTTTTCCCGCGGAACTGGGCTACTTTAACACTGTTGCCGCGGGTTGTTTTCATGTCCGCTGGTTGAAGCGACCCCAATTATGTGATGTTTAGCCACCGGAATGCAAATTTAAACAGGGAAACCCTACCAAAAAAGTGTATTTTACATGTATTTTACCCCCCGGAACGCGACTGGCTAGTTTTGAGTAGCAATTAGGAGGGTTTTGTTCTGAAAGCCTGGCAACCCTGAGCTCTACTGTCATGGCGGAGACGGAGCGGAGTAGGAGCTGATTCAGGAAGAGATGGCGCTGTAAAGTGGGTTACCGCTGAAACTTCACTCCAGCAGTTCCCACAGCGACCGAGAGGATTGTCTTCTCTTCGGAGGGATCCCTGAAAGCCAATGTCGGACGTTTCTTGCCTTATAGTTTGTAGTTTTTTGCGGCTTATCGGTGCGACTAACGTTACCTGCGCGGAATCTCTTCAGCATCGCTGTTTCCTGTTTGACGCGCAAACACTTCAATTACATTTTTGTTTAAATGTCTTTACTTTATTAATCCGGCCGAGTTTGACACGCGTTGTGTTTCGTATCTAGACTCACCACAGCGCGGTTTTGTCCTCCTTTTGACAAGTTTATAGCTGTTTTTCTTCTCCACAGTAGAATAATTCCTGTCAGTCAGGTTAGTGACATCAACCGGCGCTTCCCGCCGAAATTAACGGATAAACTGGCCTTGAATGGAGACCAGGACCTGTTCTTCACCTCTGTCAACTTAACGTTAACGAGACATTTCCGTACGTTTCCCCGTAGTTTAACTCGACGGTAGGGTCAGACAGGTGTCCCACCTGTTCCCCTATCACCTGTCTCCGTCATGGCGAGCGCAGGTGACAGCGCTGTCGGGATTCCCATCCGAGGAATCCGCATGAAGTTCGCCGTGCTAGCGGGGCTCCTGGAGGCTGGTGAAGTCTCCAACCGGGACATTGTGGAGACGATCTTCAATCTGGTAAGCTGATTAAAGCCTTTAAATAAGGATCTAACGACACCGTGGCGGGACAAGACCAAATGTTTAGACTCTAGCTGCGACTCTAACTATACACTTACAAAGCAGAAAGTGGAGCTGTGTGGCCTAATGGTTAAAAGTCTGCTGCCTGGTTCGAATCCCAGTTTGGCTGATGTATATAGTGCCCCCATTGTGTCCTTGATCAAGACACTAATGTCAGGGGACTGAACCTTTAATAAGTGGATAGAAGGACATGTCGTATATTTGATGTGAATAAAGAAATGCAATGCACACTCTCAGAAAATGGTCTCTTTAGGGGTATAACAGCTTGTCACTGGGGCTGAAAAGCCCTTTGCCCTCTGAAGATTTTTAGGATAATTCTATATACACATTCCCTTTCAGGTCATGATGTATAACTGTATACAATAGCTGGAGTGGAGCAGGTTTATCAACTTATATTTATATGCATTTTATGTATGTAGTATGTTATGCTCAGTGATTAACATATAAATAACATCTGCACCTAACTGCACACTTTTAGGCCTTTGAATAATATTGTTTTTTTTCTCCTCACATGTGAGCTCCATATTCTCACTGTATCATACTCTATGGGCCATAGAAGTCTATCATATCAAATATGATATAAAACATGTATGCAAAAATATTTTATTTTTTGTCTCGTACCTTATTTACCCCTGAAAGCTTCGTAGTAGTATCTTAAGGGTACATATTATTACTAATATGCCCCTTTTAGGGACATATAGAGGTACAAAGTCATCCCTTTCATAGTACTGCCCCAGTGACAAGCTGTTGTACCCCTAAAGGTGTAATTACTGAAAATTTTGTCTGACAGTGTAGGCTATATAACTACCTGTTTTATAGCATGGACTTTTATACATCCTCACACAAAAAAAAAAAAAGTATATATATATTTTTTGGAATCCTAGTATTTTTACGCAAAGGCGTGGAGTTATTTGTGAAACTCTGTTAATATTGTGTGCATTTGTAAAGGTGGGCTCTGTTTTCTGCTGTGTTTCTAGCGATGTGGTGTTGTCTTTAAAGCTTGATCAACCTGTTTCTATACACACTGCTTGTTTTAGATCGTTTTTCCCTGCTCCTGTCATTGCAGACAGTCCTAATGTGAAGCTATTATCCATTAATCCATGATAAAGGATTACAGGGTGTGAGGAAGAAACCTGGGTTGATTTAAATTTTTTAGCAGTGACCTGATATTCACCCTCCTTGAAATGATGGCAGTGCTTTGTCAGCTTTAAACTTGTCTTGCAGTTTCCATGGAGTGTGTATGGTACAAAATCAAATGTAGAGAGCAGAATGTCTCATGTAGCTTTCTTTGGCAGTTCACAGATCACTTCAGCACAGCTCCATGATGTAATAACAGCTCTTCTCTGTTGACCAGCCCCACACACAAGGAAGTCAGTAGCACTTTCTGGAAATTGCACACTTTTTTTTTCACCTCCCACGTCCACAAGCCAGTTGAAAGCCCCTGTTATACATTAGCCGAGTTTCAAGCATGAGTGAGGGCCTGTATGTGGCCCACAATGTAGCTGAAACTGATTGGGAGAGATTTGCATTGCAGGTCCTGTAGTGTTGAAATGACATTGCAGAATGAATGAATGAGAGGAAGAAGGAAGTAAGAAAGAAACGTGCTGCAACAATGTGCTGATGTAACACAGCTTGAGGCAAAAGGCACACTAGACCTCATAGGTGACATGTAGCCTACATGCACACATTGCTCTAACCTTGCCTCTAATATAAGGCTTTATAATTGAATGCAGTGCCCTTAAATGGATAAGTCACTTGCAGTGCAAAAACTCACCCATTTGTTATTCTAAATCTGTATGAATTTTGATATGTTTAGCAGAATGTATGAGCTGCTCTTGTTTATACAGTGAAAGTGAAAGGGGACCAGGCCCCAAAAAGGACATAAAGCACCGTAAAATAATCAAAAACAGACTGTATTCCATGTCTTTCATATGATAGCTTTGTATGAGGAACCGATTGTTAACCGTTAACTGACAAGATTATTTTAAATTAGAATTTAATTAAATTAGAAAGGATAAGTGTGTGACCCTGTTAAAAAATACTAACATTTGTTTCCCGGGGATTAATTTTACACGCGCAAAAAGCAGCAAACAACAGAACACGAGGATTCACATGGTCATCATATATGCACCTGCAGCGCTTCTGCGAGCGGTAGCCTATAGCCTATATAACGAATAAATAGGCCTATACGAGAAACATATTTTTACTTAAATAATAAATTAAGAAAATGAAAGAAAAACTGTGCAACAAGTAGCGTAGCCTATATACAGTGCTTCGGTTCATTTTTGTGCTGCGCGAAAGGAAACAGACGGCAGAAAGCGACTTCCTATTTTTCTTTAGGCTTATTTTACAAAAGCACAAAGATTTGTTTTTATTGTGAATATACACAAATAAAGGCAAACCTTTTACAATTCCGATTATCTTTAGGACTAAAAGGAGTAGTTTCTTCCACTGTTAGAAGGAAAACAATTCAAGTGATTGCACCAGCGCCGCATGCGCACACACAGTTAAGCTTTGCTACCTTGACAATGCAGCCTGTTCATTATCATAATACAATACAGTCAGTCAAACATATGGAAAAAAAAACTCTTTAGTAAAAAAAAATATGTAGTAAAATCTTTGCCGTTAAGTGTTATCACAGTACCGTCGTGATGTTATGCAAAACATTTTGTTTTACGTGGATATTGGAACGCGAGTGAAGTACATAATAAATAATAATTTGCCATTCAAATACATCGCGAATACGGAAACATTTGATTT